AAACATATTTTGTATAATTTCATAAAAAAATTTTCTCATACGTTCATGTATAATTTTTCAAAAAAAAAATAGTTTTGAAAATATCCGACGGATGGCGCATGATCACTAAATTGTCTCACTACAAGAGAGTTAAATTTTGAGATATTGAATAATAAAGTAAAAATCGTTTTTCTGAAGATTAATTTAGGTTTTGATTAAAAATTTTTCCTAAAAATATAATAAATATCAAAGTAAAAATTTCATATTCTATACAAATAAATTGTACGTAAATTTTATTATAAGTAAAGTCCATTAGGACAGGAATTATAAATAAATAATATTGTATGCATAAACTTGTATCTGTATACCTTAAAATATATTAATAAAAATAATAATAATAAAATCATTTTTGTGACTCTCTTAAAACGCTTCTCTGACACTGAATTTTATTTCAATTATTAACTACTCAATTAATTTTTGTTAAATAAAACATGTTTGACATAAAAATTCTCTAGAGAAGACAAAAATTATAATTCATTATTTTTGGACTTACATCACCACATAAGAAAACTTTCCACTGATTATTAATTATTTTCCTGTGAGCGAGCAATAAAGAAGAACGTTAAGTGAAAATAAGATCTGATGGAAATCTAAAATTAGATTACTTGCATTACATACAGCTAAGAGAATCTAAAAATTATTTACTGTTTTACTTAACTTCGCTCTACACTGTAATTAATTTCCCTTATGGACATTATTCAATTAAACTGTTAGAATAGAGTGCTTCTGAAATACACTTTTAAATTGCTCAGTGTGTCTTTATCAATCTTCGACTCGATAAACTTTTTATAAAATTTTTACATCGACTAACTTTCGTTGAAATTAATTACCTTTTTTCTGTATTTTAATATTCGATATATTTATAATTTACAATGAAAAATTTTTCATTAAAACTAAAACAATTTTAATTATCGAAAGAAATTACGACTGAGTTAAATTATTAAAATAACGAATAGGAAAAATGTAACGTCGCCGAAATCACGGAAAATTGTTTCTTAGTTATCATTTGTCTACTCAACTTAACGCTCGAAATAAAATTTAATTTCGTGAGTTAGAGCATTCATTTTAACGACTGGAAAGTTCCACAATATATTTCTACACTCCTAAAGCATGAAGAACATATAAAGCAAAGATGATTTAGTTTGCAAGTGATTAAAATTTTTAACGCAACCTCGTAAAGTTTCGTCAACAAATTTCGGTAGTACTTCTCCCTACATGTTGAATTCACAATCAAAATATCCGAGAGAAGACAAGTTGGTTATACTGAACAGCAAATCCTGCTTATCGTAACTATATACACTTATATTCCACCAGAGAGATCCACTATCATCGATAATTTAAAGTTTTAGTAGACGAGAACTTTGCAAATCGTCCACTCTAAGGCTACATCCCTACATAGATATGTATTAATATACATCCATAGACATATAGATATAAACTTGTCTATATGAGGGTGTATTTATGTATGTATGCAGGATGTACTTTAAACGTAAACAGAATCCATCTGCGATGAAAATTTGGACTATCTAATAAACCTGGTAGTGAAATCACAAGCTACCAGAGTTTCAGTTAAAATGTTTATGGAAGCGTGAAACTTTGGATTAATATTCCTGGTTTATTAACATATAATATCCGTATAATACATACATGTAATATGTTGTATAGTGTTACACTTAATGAATTTGTAATTATGATTGGTAACTGAAATACCTAAATTCTTTTTCTTCCACCGCAGCATTTATTTGTATCCTCAACTCTGTATGGAACATTACACGGAAAAAAAAATATCGCTCTCAGAGCTATATTGTAATGCTACAGTAACTATCCCCACTCGACTAACTGTTAGAGAGTTACTAGAGCCATTTAGTAGATCGCTCTGGCAGGTATACAGTAGATGGCTAAAATAGCTAAACCGTTGAGCTGGGAGAGCAATACGGGATTGCTGTGAGGGGTAAACGCCTCGTTGAAGTCTCAGATTCTGCGCGCAGTCTTGTTTGTTGACATATTTTATAACCTTTAAAATTAATATAATTATTTACTAGCAATCTGTAGTTAATATGCGACTGTCAAGAGTTATGGATTATAATTAAAAAAAAACTTTGGCTTATTAATTTTTTGTTTTTTCCAATAGAGATATTAATAGTTTGGGTACGTTTTAAATAAATTTGAAAATAATTAGTGCAATGAAAAAATCAAATCCGAATAATTTAATGAAAAATATGGTGGAGCAAATTTATAAAACCAAAAAATTATTTAAAACCCCTTCCGAAATTCGAAAAAAAACAGTCGAAATATTTAAAACACAGGAATGTGTGTAGAAACATTTAATTTGTATAATTTTTTTTAAAATGGTACATGAAAAATAAATAAATAATATCAAAAATGTGATACTAAAGTTAATTGACAACTGTCAATTTTTTTTTAAATTTTATAACAAATCAATGACAGTAAAAAATGCTTCTAAAAATTTTCACTAAGAATTTTTTTTAATTCTCACATGTGGAATTTTTTCATTAAATTTTTTACGTAATAATTTTATTGCTAAAAATTTCTAATGTCTTTCAACTTCAATGTCATTCAAAAACTTAATAATTTAATATGTAATCTATTTTTTAATTCTTAATTACTTATTTTTTTTTATTTATCCATACAATTTTTAAATAAAAATTAACAAAAGATTAGAAGAATGAAATGTTTTGATTTTATAATCATGAGGTTTGAGGTTGGTTGTTCATATTTTATGACAAATAAATAAGTATTTACTTATCAATAAATTGATTTTTTTAATCAGTAAGATTCCATTCTTGTAAAATTTTTCCTACCCACGAATCCATATTTAATTAAAACAAATATTTAAGTCATTTTTTTTTAATTGATCATTGGCACAAAAAAACACGAGTGTCACTTTTATGTGGTCCGGATAAATATGTTTTGACCGGTAAGAGGGCGTTGTAAGAGAAATGTAGTTGGCGATTCTAGCTATCTAACAGATCGCTCCAGTAGCCATACCGTATTGCTGCTGTAGGAATGCATAATGCTACAGTAACTTTCTGTTGGTAACCACATTTTTAACAAATATAAATAATGCTGTGAAGCGGGAAAGAATAGGAGTTACGGATAATTATTACGTGAAGCGTTCCAACATTCACGTAACAGGATATTTTGGTAGGAAAGGATTGAGAAAGGATTGTGGAGAGGATCATCTTCAGGGAGAGGGGAATGTGAGTGTATAGAATATGCGAGAAAAATTATTAGATAGCTCGGACTGGGATTCGAACCCAGAACCTTCCGAAGACATGTCGGCTATTCTACCATTTGAGCTATCCGGTCTGTACTAAATTTCCTTTCACTTATTCTATACACATTAAGCCACACCGTCCATCTTAAGTTCTGATATCTTAAGTTCTACCACACCGATTCCTTTGAAATTTAGTGGGAATTTGTTTTATATATCTCTCTATCGCGTCTGCTATGGATTTCAAAAAATTTCAATTTAGAGTATTTTTAAAAAATTCGAAAAGGTCATAAAAAAGGGTAAAAAAAAAAATTGATATTTTATGTCGACGCCATTTTGTGAATTTTTTTTTTTTTTTGACTATAGTCAACTTTTATATATAAATTTCTGTTTGCCGGCAATTGTCTCTTTCATTGACCTCAGATTCAAGTTTCCATTGACTTGTATTTACGTTCCACTTGAGCTACCGAAGTTTGGCCATACCAGATAACCTCCTGCTCTCGAAACTTTCTTTTGGGTTAAGCTAAGTTCAATTGATTTCATAAAGTTACAATGGTCTTACCAATTTATACTTACTTTTTTATTATTTCTTCATTTTAATATTCAACACTCTAAGTTTGAATTACATTCATTGTACCGTTAACTTTTAAATGAAAATTATGCTCCATCAAAAGCACCAATTATCTAGAAAGTATTATCAATATTTTTTTATCCTTTTATGCGCAATATTTTAAAATCAATATCCAACAAATTGTTTATTAAATTCAAAAGTGTCACTCGGGTGAATGAAAAGCGTCAAAAAGTTTTGGCTAATTAAGTAAAAAGTTTCATTAAAATAATTATTAAAAATTGTTTACTAATTTTATTAAAACTTTTCATGACATTTGATATTAGTTTACAAAACAATAAAACCATACCGTGATAGCTTTCAAAAGTTTTTAATTATAAATATACGAGGTTAATTATCAATTTTAGCAGATGAAAGCTTCGGAATTTAATGTATTAATTTAATAATAAAATTCAAAAATTGACTTATCTAATAAACTTTGACAATCTGAATTTTCATAACAAAAATTTTAATTAGCTAACTTTTTAACGAGCTTACCACAATGTTGATTAGTTTTTAGTTCAGCTAAAAATTATAATCACCAATTACCTTCATCTCGTTTGTCAAATTCAAAATTTGAGCTTCCGCTTTCTGCATTTTTAGATCTAGACTTGAAATTTAATTAGAGTATTGTTTTGACTTGCACAGATTCCCAATTCTATCGAATTGGCATGCGCACCTTTTAGCCATGTAATTATTCTAGCTAATATTCATTGTAACTTTCAATGTGCAATCATTATAACATTCCCGTGTCGTTCTTACAAAAATGAATAATAATTGATAAGAAAAAAAAAATTTGTAATGAGCATTGAAAGTTTCAGTTAAAGAAATGGCAGGTCTCATAAGTGAAGAATAAATTTAGTTGCAATAAAAATTCATTATTTCTAAGTCAAAACATATAGGTTCCGGATAAGTAATCACCACCATATCACATACTAAAATCTTCTCCAAAACACGCTGCATCTTATGGTATAGGTATTATTCCGATCGGTTCAGTAATTTTCGCAGTATAACCGGACAAAAAAACCGGATCTCTATTTATTAGTATAGATTTTGGGTGTAAATGAAATTTTTGTAAAAAAATTTCATGACATGGAATTATAAAATTTTTTAATATCAATTAAAATTGCAACCCGAGTCAAAAATTGGATTGAAATAATTTAAAAAAAAATATTCGAATTCAAAAATTGTAAATTATCAATTTTTTATATATTGTATGGCATATATCATGCATCATATATGGCGAAAGCGGTACAGCGGCTGGGATAGATGATTGCGATGGTGATGGTGATGAAAAAATGAGATAACAGTGAAGCGACATACCTTGTATCCGAGATAAGCGAGTAATAGTGCCTCGGTTAGTGATACGATCGCCAAAATCACCTGGACGACCCACAATTCCAGAGGTCGTCTCACCCACAGAATAGCGTCCCAGTTGATGGTCGGGTGCTCTTGAAATGCTTCCTCTGTGAGCATTTGTGACGCCAGAATGTCCGACTTGTTTCCCGCTTCGCACCCGTAACTGCCCGTATACAAAATTGCATTTTTTGAATCAACCGTACCAAAAATTCAATTACTTTTGTTTACATTTTTTTATCGAAATTCAAAAATAAAAAAAACCATCCTACAGTGGTTTTTTAAAACATTCTACAGCGGTTTTTTAAAACGACTCTAACTTTTTGTCATAAAAAATCTTTATAGAAAAATATAAAGAGAATTTTTCAATGCCGGAAGGCTGAACACCATAATTGGTTGAACTTACCATGCTGCGAATGTAGGAACGTTGTCAGTAACAACTCGGAATATATAAAGAATGCAGGTAAGCAACTTGAAGAAGAGGTTTGCGACTCGTATCCTCAAACCTTTTAAAACAGAAAAGAGTTTCGTTTATAAAACAGCCTGTATATTAACTTATGTGCCTCATTAAGATTTAATTCGTTCTATTTATTCTATATAATTAAGAAAAAAAGCAACATTTTCTATTTTGTATTTTTGGAAAGGTCTTGACCTAAATTTGTGTCTTTTCACGACTTTATATATGTTTTTATGATAGTATATTTTTTATGTTAAGTTTTTTGAATAGTTTATTGGTTCCATAATTTTTTTCCGTCCTAAATTTTCCATAAAATTATTACTATAACTAGCTATTACCTGCCCGCTCCGCTTGACGCTTTGTAGAATTGCATTTTTAGATCTAGACTTGAAATTTAATTAGAGTAATGTTTTGACTTGCACAGATTCCCAATTTTATCGAATTGGCATCCACCTTTTAGCCATGTAATTATTCTAGCTAATATTCATTGTAACTTTCAATGTCCAATCATTATAACATTCCCGTGTCTTTCTTACAGAAATGAATAATAATTGATATGAAAAAAAAAATTTGTAATGAGCATTGAAAGTTTCAGTTGAAGAAATTGCAGGTCTCATAAGTGAAGAAATCTGCCTAGTACATAAACATAACCAATAGAATTAAAAAATTTATTTTAAGCAAATGACAATCGAATAGAATAAATTTAGTTACAATAAAAATTCATTATTTCTAAGTCAAAAAAATATAGGTTCTGGATAAGTAATCACTACCATATCATATACTAAAACCTTCTCCGTAACACGCTGCATCTTATGGTATAAGTATTATTCCGATCGGTTCAATAGTTTTCGCAGTATAACCGGACAAAAAAACCGGCTCTCCATTTATTAGTACAGATTAATCCTGTCATAGCAACATTATATAAAAAATAAATCTCAAAAGTACCGAAATTGAATATAGTGTGATTAACAATATCAAAAAATCATCAAGCCAAAGAAACTGTAATTTCACTCGTAATCATGATAATGATGATCAAAAATCCATAGGGATTAATTGGAGCAGCTTTGCAAGAGACCTGCAATTGCTATAGGCTATAATATGCATTGTATTTGAGTTTCTCTCCCGTTAAATTATAAATGGACGGCATTAGAGCTAATTAATATAAATGTGTGTTCAGAGCACGTGAAACTTGATTGAAAAGGTATTGGTAGACCACATAATACAAAGTTCCTTTGTGTTTTAGGTGTACAAATTCATAACTACACACCGGCTTGGTCAACCTACTGTTTCCGTCTCCTACTCCTTCTCCTCCTCTTTTGCCCTCTCATTGACCTCTTGTATATTCGTGTAAAGGTTATACATTCTATATATTGTTTAGTCACATGGCCTTTGGGCAAATTCTGCGCATTCTACCGTGTCACTGTATCGGACATCAAAAGATTTACGTATGGTTTTGTTTTTACGCCGGTAAAAAGAAATAATAGTGCGAAAATTTGGAATTTTAGTCTTTGTGCCGTTCCGATTTCGGATATATTGGCATATAAATGCAGATATAGTTATGGATTTTTGTATTCTCTAGTTTTAAAAGATAAAACTGTTAAAATTCGCGGAAGAGCGGCACGTTTATCTCCTGATTGGAATACCTGCATTCAATCATTCCAACCGGGATTTTTTCTGATATTAAATTTATCGTTTGCTCGCTGTGATAAACTGCAGGATAATTGTAAAATATCATGGATCGTGATTCATAATAGTCGAGATTTTTTCTTATCTATTATATAAAACAATTTTTTTTAGCGTTTGTATGACAAGTTGGGGAATGGCTTAGTTTTTTAGTCAACGATTTTTGGAGCTATAGCTTAATATGAATATTTTATACAATCCTTAAAACACTACTAAAAACATATAATTTATCATTTAAAAAATAAGACTTACTTGATCGTTGATTTTTGATAAAATACAATTGAAGCCGTTCTTTGAAAGTGTTTTCATTCACGTAATACTCGACCCGTACTCTGAAACAAAACAAAAATCATCCAATGAATAACAGCGTAAAAATAATCCGACACTAAAAAAAAAATTATCCAGCTATTTACCCTGAAAACCTGCATGAATACATAATAAATATATAAATTTGAATAGCATAAAAAAGATTTATTATGCAAATGAGCCGGCGATAAAGAAAATGTTTTAATTGACTCAATAGAATAATAATATTAAATTATAGCTCACAACAAAGTGGAATTTAAAATATCGTTGCATAAATCCATACATATAAGTATTTATATAAATGCAAACACCCTTGCATTATTATGTTCCCTGGAAATAGCTCGTGTAACGTGACAACAAAGCTTATGCGCTCTTTGTCTGCAGGCTCTGCAATAGTTGTTCCTTACACGCATATACTCCCTTATGTTAATATTTAAATAAATCTAATAATAATAAAATAGTAATTTTATTCTGATTGGTCGACACCTGGTTCTTTGACCCGACCTGGCACAAATCTTGGCATTTGCTTAAGGCAAAAACCGTAAAGCCTTTTATTTGGCCTGCAACTCACTTGTGGAAAAGTTTGCGCCAGTTTTTGATTGATTAAAAAAAATCCTACATTCTTTCTTCCGTATAATGCCGGGCGTCTTTCCTCCGTTCTCTTTGGGCGCCATTCTTCTACCCGTCAACTGAGGGATTAACTAACCTCACCGCAACCCATAAAATCACATGTGGCAAAAGTTACCGCCATTTTTCATCACCAGCGTGGCGTATCACTAATTTTGCGGTATGACTAGGCAGTAAATAACTTTATTCAAGGTTCATGGTGCTATACTATGTGTATAGCATGTATACAGTCAAGCTAAAACCAAAAACCAAACCTGATGCTGACACTTGGTAATTTTGAGTGCAGCAAAAAGAAAAAAAACTGCAACAATTACGACAGAATTGAGGATAAAAAATAAGTACACTAGCTTTTATACGGAGAAGTTTACTACGAGATGGTCATCGAAGCGCGTAGGACTGAAGGTACAACACGGAAATTGAAATATCCAATCTTGATCCGGTGTTCCATGTCAGCAAGCATAAAAGTTGGCTTCGATGATGCGAATCAATGTGAGATAACATACATGCTTATGTACTTATATTTATGTATAGTATAGATTTTGTGTGGAACAAGTCAATATATTGCGGAGGGTGAAGGATGTGCACCCAGAAAATTCATGTTTAAATAATGTTGCACTCATACGTTCGCTGTTGCAGTTTCCAGTCCGTTCGTCCGTAACTACGGGTATTTCTTTTTAACGACACCGTAAAGTGTTGCTTTGTTGCTTTGGTACCAGTTGATGCTTTTTCGACCAATGCGAAATCCAATTGCGAGTTCTGGTGTGGGAGAACTATTTTATATTCAATTGCACTGGATTTCTTGGGTTTCGAGGGTAGCAATTAACGGACGAATGGATTTTGTCCATTAATTTGGATGAGCTTCATTTTTTTTGATTTTTTATGGTAAGAGACTAAAAAATTAACTTGATTAGAGAGGAAAGTTTTGACTAAAGATAATTTTTAAGTTATACAGAAGAACAATTTTCTTCAGTTAAAAATTTTTGTTCAAAATTTTTTACACAATAAAAAATTTTACGTCAAAAAATTTAGTGTTAAATATTTGATACTTTTATGTGTAAAGTTAACATGTGATAAATATTTAGCATAAACAATTTTTGACGCAATGATGCAAAATTTTTAAATCAAGAAAATTTTTCATCAGCTTAAAAAAAGGGTTTTATTACCATAAGTAAATCTTTGTTATAAATAAATCGAAAACTAAACAAAGACAAATAGAGTTTTAGAAAATTCAATAATACAAATGAAATTATCCCTCGAAACAATTTACAAAAAAAAAAAAATAAACGATAGAAATAAAAAAAGAACACGCCGTCTGGGATTAACGATTGATTTTCCAACGTTAAAATTTCTTGGTGCTCTTTCGCGCGTAAAATAGATAGAATCGGTTTCCGTTTCACGTCGCATCCCACAAGTATACTCAGCACCGGTTGGTTCTCTGGCTCGCAGTAGTACGACACAACGTTCGTTCGTCCTGACGTTCGATAACTAGCGTCGTGAATACTCTTGACTCCGGAGCGTACGGCAATTTCCAGCTTCTACGCTCCAGGGACCCGCGACACCCGATGTCCAAATGTACATGAGTCCGTTCAAATTGAGCGGTAAATGAACTAAAAAACGGACCGAGCAGCAAAAAGCAATAAGAAATAAGAAATACAAGTAAATAAAAGGTCGGTAAGTAAATCAATTTAAGTTTAAATTAAATATCGAGTAGTTTTGATTAGGGTAATTGGAATCAGATAAGGATATTAGATTCAACGGATAACTTTGTATTCATGTCAAGATTGAAATTGCCGACTGGAGAGTTGAGTCGAAACCCAACCAGCCAGCAAGCCAATCGAGTGGGGTGCAAGTACAAGTAAAATCGAGGAAAGTAGAACTAACTTTATATTTAAGATTAGCTAAGGGAGGAATTCAAGAAAAGTAAGTAAGGAAGTAGTCGAAGTCACTCGAGCGTAGAACACCCTCCTTGAATGCTCTTGACCTATTCCCACTTTTTCCCCATTCCCCGTTGCCAAATCGACTATTTTAACCTCTTTCTCTTTCTCTTTATTTTCGGAGAGGTGTGAGAACGCTCTGGTAAGAACTCTTCGTTCGATTCCTGTCTCTTTACCACCTCTTTACCAACTAGCAACTCTGAACTCGGCTTCTTCATCTCGTACTCTTGCTCTTAGAACCAGTGATAGCATTAGTATTAGCAGGGGACTTAATAGGTCTTTGGAAGTTTGAGTCCTCAGACAAACTTGTTCGGTTCCGAGGGCTGGATGACGTTCCAGTTGTTGAGTAAAATCCCTAGTTTCTATTTCTCTTTTACAACAAGTCTATCAAAACCTCTTCATTGTATACTGACGAATTAAGTGTAAAGCCATCGACTAAATGGCGGATCTTCGAGTTTAAGTCTGTGTCTATGTAAAGGTACAGACACCTTTGGGACGGGATGGGAGCTCGTGGTTGTTTAATCTTAGGAGCCTTCAAGGTATTGGTTGGTGTCGGTGAGAAATTCAATTAGTCGAATGGCATAGGAGCTGCGCTCTAACGAATCAATTCGGATAGCAATGCTCGTTGGTGATTGAGCTGCTCGTGAAATGTCAACTATATATAAATATAGATATCGATGGAGATGTGTGTTGGGTGACGTCGAGGTGATTGAAAGAAAGTCGATACCTTTTTTCAGACACAATCATTGTGATTAATTAGTTTTCAAAGTTAAACAATTAAAAATTTTTCTCAATTTTTTAGAATTTATAAAATAGCTTCAGGGTTTTTTTAAAAAATTTTAATTTATTGAAAAATGAATGAATTTCTTGTAATTTTTACTTTAGAATAGTATCAAAGGATCATTAGTAAGGAAAAAAAGTTCATTTGAGCTGAGAAAATATTTTTCTTCCTAATTATTTTCTTGAGAAAAAAAAATTTTTTTTTGATAAGAAATTTCATTTATTCCAACAATATTAATTCTCTTGCTTTAAGAAATGCGTATCTTGATCCAAGAAAATTTATTTAAGTCAAGAAAATCTTGTTGTTATGAGAAAATTCAGCTTCTTGCTCCAAAAAATTTAGTTCTTGATAGAAGTTAATTTTCTTGTCGTGAGAAAATTTTTCTCTTGTTCCAAAAAATTAAATATAAAGATAGAAGTAAATTATCATTAATATTTTTATTGACTAAAATGTCAAATTGGAAGATCAAATAATATTTCATCATTTTTTTTTCATTCAATATGAATAATTGCACGCTAAAACAATATAAAGTGGGTATCAAATATTCAAGAAAAAAATTTTCTCAAGGTGAGAAAATTTTTTTCTCAGCTGAAGTAGATGGCGCTACTTCCCTAAAGTATCTAAAAATCTTGATCAAATATAAAAATTTATTGTATCAAGTATTTATGATAATTTGAATTAAAAAAAAAATTACTTCCACCAAGAATAGAATTTCAAGAAAAATTTTTACTTCGGCCAACACATCTTCGGTCTTCCTTCAGGCACCCGAAAATTTTCTTGAGCCAAGAATTTTGTTCTCTAGTTAAGAAATTTTTCTTTCCGTGTACGAGAAAAGATCATAATTTTTAAATAGGATCATAATAATAGCTAAGGGAATCATTAACTGTAATTAAATAAAGTATTAAGTAGCTATTCCACCCTTCCTTAAATATTTCCACAGATAACACGTGTGGTAAACAACGAGGTTGATATATAAAAGTAAATATTGAATGAGACTAGAAATAATTATCAAGTTTTGCCGCAACGCGGTAAATTTAATTTACGTAGTTAAAGTCACGCACTGAGGTCTGTTTATATAAATACATGCCCACATATGTAGCAGCATATTTACATAGATATACATATGTGTGTATGTATGGAGAGATAGTAGAGAGAAAAGTAAAGGCTTTTACAGGTATTATCCTGCGGCGTTCCACTGCCAATTTACTCGGACAAACTTGTCACGCAAACTTGACGACATTCACGAGCGATTAGACTTGCCTGAAGCTCTGTTTTACCTATTTATATTTTTTATTAAAATACATGTCTAACTTTTATAATGCGATAGCTCTTGCCGCTATTACCATTACTATCATGTGTATTATGCATAGGACCCTATATCGTCCGTAGGATATTAAACCTGCAATAACAATAACAATAATATTAAAGGATAAGACAGTTTGGGGTTTGACGTGGATGAGCTGGATTGCGTGCATAACTATTTCCAGTTGCGTGACAATATTTCGTTGTCAGGTGAAACTGCGTCAGTTAATAAATTTAATTGAAACGGAAGCTTTACTGTGTTGGATGTCTGCAAAGCTTATGATTGATACATAATTTATATTTTTATTTGCGTGGATATATTTAATACATTAAATGGGGTTCTAATTATTAAATAGTTATTTAATATTTATTACTAATTTATCATTCATTATCACGGGTCACTTATCATTTGTCCTACTTCATGGCATTTTTTTTTATTTATTGATTTTACTTTGTTATAAATTATTAATGGAATTTTTTTTTAAA